AAAAGGGCTGAACCAGTCAGCATTCCCACCAGCAATGAAGAAGGGTCTCTTTCTCCCTGCATCTATGCCAACTCTGGTTGCTTTTGTTCTTTTGGATGTGGGCCAGTCTCTGTGGTGTGAGGTGGTATCTCATAGTTGTTTTGATCTGCATCTCCCTAATTATTAGTGATGAAGAGCATTTTTTCATGTGTCTTTTGGCCATTCATATTTCTTCCTTGAGAAAGTTTCTGCTCATTCCATCGCCCCATTCTCTGGCAGGGTTGTATGTTTTCTACTTGTAGAGTTCAACCAGTGCCTTGTATATCCTTGATATCAACCCCTTATCAGATGGGTATTAGTTGAATATCCTTTCCCATTCTGTAGATTGTCTTTGTATTTTGGTCACTATATCTTTTGAGGTGCAGAAGCTTCTTAGTTTAATATAGTTCCATTTTTTAAAAATCTCTATTTCCACTTTGTTGGTTAGTGGCATGTCATCTTTGACGATTTCTTTAGCTTCAGTATCGTGGAGGGTTTTGCTGACCTTGTCTTCAATATACCTAATGGATTCTGGTCTGATGTTCATAGTCACGGTCACGGTCCTCCAGTTGTTCATCGATTTGCTCAAGCGGGCCCAGTAACGTCTCCATTGGAGACTTTGTTGTTACTTGTCTGGCATATCGAATAAGTCACGGGGAGCTTGCCAGGCTCTGCCGTGCGGCTGAGATACTCTCGGTAGCTTGCCGGGCTCTCCGAGAGGGGCGGAGGAATTGAACTCGGGTCGGTCATGTTGGCTGCGTGCAAGGCAAACGCCCTACCACTGTGCTATCGCTCCAGCCTGGTCTGATGTTGAGGTCATTAATTCTTTTTTTTTTTTTTAATTTATTTATTTATTGAATCACTGTGGGAAAGGTTACAAAGCTTTCAGGTTTATGTCTCAGTCATGCAAATATCAAACACATTTCCCTTTACCAATACTTATTTTTTACCATGAAGAACCCCAATAAAACCCCACCCCCCACCCCTCCCCGTCCCTGTGAGGCAGATGAATTCTAGTTAACACTCTATCTGCTTTGATTAGATTCATTGTTTCAATAAAAGATTCACCACTATTATTTAGAGTTTACCCCCCCCCCCAAATCAGACATGCTGAAAAAGCATTGTGAAGTCATTAATTCATTTTGATCAGACTTCTGTACATGGTGTTAGGTCAAGGTCTAATCCCATTTTTTTGCATGTAGTTGTCTAGTTATGCCAGCACCATTTGTTAAAGAGGCTTTCCTTGCTCCACTTCACATTTCTTGCTCCCTTATCAAATATTAGATGTTCATACATTTGGGGTTGTGTGTAAGAGTATTCCACCCAGTTCCATTGTTCTGCGGCTCTGCCTTTGCTCCAGTACCATGCTCTTTTAATTGTTACTGCTTTCTAGTAAAGTTTGAAGTTGGGGGTGGGGGGTGATGCCTCCAATCTTTTTTATCCCAAGAATCGCTGTGGCTATTTGTGGGGGTTTGTTGTTCCATATGACTTTCAGCAGTGTTTGACCCATTTCTTTGAAGTATGTCATGGATATTTTTACAGGGATCGCATTGAATCTTTATTATGCTTTGGTGAGTATTGCTATTTTGACAATGTTAATTCTCCCAATTCATGAGCAGGGGATATGTTTCCATTTCCTCATGTCCTCTTTTATTTTTTGGAGAAGCATTTTGTAGTTTTCTTTGTACGGGTCCTTTACCTCCTTAGTTAAGCTGATTCTGAAGTACTTCTGGGGCTGGGGTACTTTCCTCTGAGAGACTCAAATTTTAACAGCCCAACTTATAAAGGTGCCTTTCAAGAGAGTGGGCTGGAAGGGGTGAGGGTATGAGAGTGAGCTGGGAACATTGGGGAAGGATAGTTGACACTGGGATTGGTGCTACAATATTGTACGTCTAAAACTCAACTAGGAATAATTTTGTAAATCTTGGTGCATTAATTTAAAAAAATACTGTATCAACATCAAGAACATTAAACATATTTTAGATGCCATTTTAATTTGCATTTCTGTTAATAGGGTTAAATAAATAGGATTTGTGTTCCTCCACTCTTAAGCCTCCCTCCTACCCAAGCTCCTGCCTCAGTAAGCTCAGCTCTACAGATCACCTCTAAAGTTCTATTGCCTTTGACTATTAGTTGTTCTCTTGCTATATTTCTTTATATTCCACATTTGAGAGAGATTAGTCAATCCCTCTTCTAACTACCTTCATTTGGCATGAAACTCTCCATATCCTTACATGTAGCAAAAAATTGCATCAGTTTGTCTTTTCTTGTAGCTGAGAAGTAGTCCCATTGTAGTTGAGTAGTATTCCATTGATTACTATTCTAGTAATATTGAATAGCATTTCACACAGTTTATTGATGCACTCATCTGTTGTTCAAGATAGCTTTTTAAGATATAGTCTGTTGTTCTTAAGACATTAAGAGTTTAAATTTTTTATTACATGAAACCATAGATTTTATAGTCAGAATATTTAAAATTAGATCAAACTCAATATAAAGTATCAGCTGTACTTTTTGCTTGTAATTAACATGTACCTGTAGAGATATATTGATTTAGTGTGATGATGTTACTCTTTGTGCGTGTGTGTGTGTGTTTGTGTATGTATGTGTGTGTTTAGCCCACACCTGGTGGTGATCAGGACTTCCTCCTGGCTCTGTGCTTAGGGATCACTCCTGGTGGCATGCAGGACTATATGGAGCGCCTGGGATCAAACCTGGTGGGCCACATGCAAGGTAAATACCATACATGCTGTACTATTGCTCTAACCCCTTTTTTGTTGTTGTTGTTTTGAGTGTTTGGGTTACATCACAGGTGCTTCAAGGATGCTCCCAGCTTAGTGCTCAGGTGACTGTGGTAGTCGGGATTGAACCGGGGTCTTTCATATGCAAGACAAGCACCTTAATCTCTCTGCTAACTCTCTTGTCCTACGATGTTATTCTTTTTTTCCTTTCTGTTTTTCTGTTTGTCTGTCTTTCTCTCATGTCATTCTTTTTTTTTTTTAACTTTATTTTTATAAAGCTCTTCACAATAATTTCTTACATTTAATATTCCAACACCAATCCCAACACCATTATTCCTTCCCACCACTGTATTTTGAATGTTTCCACCCCTAACTCCCAAAGCCTACCCCCAGAGCAGGGCCTACGTAATTTATTTTGTATAGTTTGTTATGAATAACAAACTATACAAAATGATCCAAAAAGTTTCCTTAGAGGAAAGAGTGTGAAGATTGTTGTATTTCACTCTGGAGCATTAAGCCTTGTAGAAGAGATTACTAACATGTTGTTAAAGGTTGAGTCTTGTGTGTTAATATGTATATATCTATTACATATGCACATATATATTACATATATATGTACATGCATATAATTTTTTCCCTGATATTGGTTGCCTTCTACTTTGTATCCCATCCAATGTGGTGTGCTACTCCTGGTATATCAGTGGTGTAAAGTATGAGATGTTGTTCCAGGAATTAATTTTTAAAAATTTTATTTTTTTAACTGGATGGTGACTTTGGGGTCCAGAGACATCTCTGTGGCATGTTGCTCTTTTCTGAAAGATTTCTTTCTGAGTCTCTGGATCATGGCTATTAATGACTTATATGACACCAGAGGCAGTTCATGGGCATGACGGCCAACCTACCGGAAGCTCAGGGAGATGTAGGGAGGTTGCCAATACCTCAATCTGTGTGAACCTGGAGATTTCGGTCACAAGTCCTGCATACCTGGGCTTTTCAGCAGATTCATTCAGACATGAGACTTGTCTGAGCCTATGGAGAGTGGCCATCAGCATGGTGGCAAATGAGTTCTGGAGGATTTTGGCTACTGGGGCTCTGTTGTAGTGGGTAGGGACTCACCTGTCCCCCTTGGATTGCCTCAGATATCATGTCATTTTTTATTTTAAAAGTTCATGCTGATGAGTGAGGTGAGTCAAAAGGAGAGGGACAGATATAGAATGACTGCATTCATTTGTGGTATATAAAAAAAGTAAATGGTAGAAGACTAAATATCCATGGCTAGGGAAAACGGGCTAGGAGGACTGGTCAGTGGTTGGATCTAAGGACAAGTGTGTTTGGGGGCGGGGGTTGGTGGAGGGTAGATAAGATAAAGAAGAGATCAATATGATAATAGCTGGGAATAGATCATGCTGGCCAAGATCTGAGTGTTAAAAGTAGGTAAAGGGATATTCTTGATAACCTTTAGTGCCAATATTGTAAATCACAATACCTAAGATGAGGGAGGGAGAGAGAGAGAAAGAGAGAGAGAGAGAGACAGACAGACAGACAGAGAGACAGAGAGAGAGAGAGAGACTCCCATAGAGGCACCCTGGGAGGTGGGGGGTGATGGAAGGGAACTTGGGGACACTGGTGCTGGGAAATGTACACTGGTGGAGGGATGGGTGTTGGAACACTATATGACTGAAATCTAATCATGAGCAGCTTTGTAAGGGCCTATCTCACAGTGATTCAATAAAATATATATTTTTAAAAGTTCATGCTGCTTTTGCAAACCACAGCACCCAAAAGGAGAGAGAGAACAAAAGGGAATGCCTTGCCACAGAGTGGGGGGGGGGGGGGGTGGGATGGGGTGGGGGGATGGGGGATGGGAGAGATACTGGGATCATTGGTGTTGGAGAATGGGCGCTGGTGGAGGGATGGGGGGATGGAGGGGTGGGAGAGATACTGGGATCATTGGTGGTGGAGAATGGGCACTGGTGGAGGGATAGGTACTAGATCATTGTGTAACTGAAACCCAAGCACAACAATTTGTAAGTGTACAACTGTACCTCATGTTGTTTCACTAATAAAAATTTTTTAAAAAGTTCATGCTGAAAATGAGACCTTCAACACAACAACACAACTTTAAATAGAGGATTCTACAGAAAGCATGTACTTTTAGTCCCTTTTGATTCACCAGTGGATTGCTAAGGCACTGTTTAAAGCTCCTTTTAAAAATGCATTTTCTTCCCTTCTTTCTTCCAGGTTACATTCTCAAACTGTTTACTCTAGTGCTTCTAGTGTAGAAGTACATCATGTTTCCCTTATTTTGAGATGGCTCAAATTTCAGCAGACCTTTCTTCTGATTGTCAATTTTGGATAAAGAAGCTTTCTCAATGGGCCCAGGCCTCCACTTTGGAAACCCGGCAAGATCTCTGCCTTCATCTGCCTCAGTTTCAGGGCTTCCTAAGGCAGCTGTATGAGGCCTTGAAAGCAATGGTAAGTAGTGGCCCAAGATAATAAAGTTATTTAGTGACAACAGACACTTTGTAGTGTTAACACAGCGGGTAGGGCGTTTGCCTTGCACGCAGCCAACGGAGAGCCCGGCAAGCTACCGAGAGTATCTCGCCCACACGGCAGAGCCTCGCAAGCTACCCATGATGTATTCGATATGCCAAACATAGTAACAACAAAATCTCACACTGGAGACGTTACTGGGCCCGCTCGAGAAAACCGATGAACAATGGGAGGAAAGTGACATTGATCAATTAAAAAGACAAATAACCCTTTAATAATATAGACAGGACATGCTTTCCTTGTTTTTCCTTCAGTAAATTTTTTCTTCTTCATAACTACATCATTATATAAGATTTGCCGACCAGTTTGTTTTTAAGTAAACAGTCAGTAATTTAGATTCTTTTGGAGGTTTTTGTATGTCACAAATATTGGAGAAGAGTTTGCTCTCTTTACTCTGCTCTCTGCTAAAGTAGGCTATGCTAGTCGATGAGAATTATGCTCAGTTCTATACATATTTTAAGTTGTCTTTGGGGGAATGTTTAAATCTGAGAATATTAACTATTATAACTTCCTGTATTTTATGCTTGTTTAATAATATTAAGATGAAAAGCAAAATTATCATTTTTTACCTCAGTGTTTTTGTGTTTTGATCTTTTCTTCCCCTAAACAAAGAAGTCATAATTTTGAGAAGTCATTTTGATAATATGAGCTTATCTTTAGAAACTGGATGGAAATATGCAGCCTGTGTGAGCAACTAGTACTGTTAAATTTGTTGCTTTTGTAATAGGACTTGTAACTTGACCTTAAAATGGTCCCAGAAAGTCTAGAACTAGTCTTGATGGTGAAACAAATGTGAAGACTTTATTGCTGTAGAATTAGGAATTGCTTATCGTTTCAGCTTATATGCACATTATCTCAGTTTGGTCTCATTCTTGAACTTTCTTGAAAGGTAAAGAAGTGGGAGAAGGGCCAGTTGTAGAATACCATGTTGATCTTTAAATCTTAAGCTGTTTTCTATTTAGTTGATCTTTTTTTTTTTTATTTCTCTGTCTCTTTCATTCTTTTTTCAAGTTACTTGATTTAATTCCAGATGGTGCAGAATACAGGATAGAGCAAACACTTGAACAGAGTGCACTGTGGTAGTATTCCGGGCAGGGTTTACTGCTACATTGTAAAAACAGCAGAGAACCAGTGTAAGAGTAACCTTACGAATTCTCTCTTTTTTAAAAAAAATTTTTTTAATTGACTCACCATGAGGTACAGTTGCAAAGCTTTCCTGATTGATTTTCACTTATACATTGATTGAACACCCATATCTCCTCCAGTGTAGCTTTCCCACCATCAATGTCCCCAGTATCCTTCCCGCCACCCCCACTGCACCCCATCTTCTGCCTCTATGGTAGGGAGATTCCTTTTTACTCTCTCTCTACTTATGGGCATTATGGTTTACAATATAGATACTGAAAAGCCATCGTATTTGGTCCTTTGTCTACTTTCAACACACATCTCCCATTCCAAGCAATACCTCCAACCATCATTGACTTAGTGTTCCTTCTCTATTCCAGCTGCTTTCTCCCCCAACTCATGAGGCAGGATTCCAACCATGGAACAATTCTCTTGGCCCTTGTATCTACTGTCCTTGGGTGTTAGTTTCATACTATGTTATTTTATATTCCACAAATGAGTTCAGTCAGTCTATGTCTGTGCCTCTCTTCCTTACTCATTTCACTTAGCAAGATACTCTCTATGTCCATCCATTTCTTTTTTTAATGACTTAAATTTTAGTTATATTTTTCATTTCAAGATTCAAACAAGCAATGCAAATTGTTGTCTGTTGTGAACATATTATATATAAGGTCTTCATGACTTATCATATATATTTTTTCCTTAGGGATAGCACAGCAGTAGGGCATTTGCCTTGCGGCCTTGCCGAGCCAGGTTCAATTCCTCCGCCCCTCTCGGAGAGCCCAGCAAGCTACCGAGAGTATCTTGCCTGCATGGCAAAGCCTGGCAAGCTTCCCGTGGCGTATTCGATATGCCAAACACAATAACAACAAGTCTCACAATGGAGACATTACTGGGCCTGCTGGAGCAAATTGATAAACAATGGGAGGACAGTGCTACAGTGCTATTAATTCACCGTGAGATACAGTAACAAAAATTTCATGTTTGAACTTTGATCATACAGTCATCAAACACCTATCCCTTCACCAGTGCACATTTTCCACCACCAAAATTTCCAGTATCCCCCCCCACCCCATTCCACACCTCCCTCTGCCTGTGTGGCAGACAATTTGCAAAATATTCTTTCTCTACTTTAGTTATCTTTGATATTTTGAGACCAGTCCTACCACCCCGCATATTTGCTGAAAATATGATTGCTAGACAATGTGTTTTGTATTGCTTGTTATGGACATAATATAATGTCACATGGCTGCACGAGCAGCCATGCACTCTAGGAATTCTAAGATTTTAATAATTAGGGTCTAAATAAATTGCAAGTTGCTCGGGTCCGAGATTCCTGTGTGTGTCTCTGGATCGTGGCCACGTGGGAGCTTAAGTAGAAGGTGGGTGAATATGGCGTCATCTCGGCGACCCATGGGGATGGAGAAGGAAGGCCCACTCCTCCCATGTCCCACGAGACTTGGGATTTACTGTCACCAGGACTCATCCCTGGTGCTTCTTGCAGGCTCCTAGAAAATGGCGACCTCTGGGGCTCTTAGAGGGCAGGTGGAGGGACGGCACCTGCTCCCATCTGGAATAGCCCAGCTGAGTCCTATTGCAAAAAAAAAATAATTTTTCCCATTCCGTGGGATATCTTTGTATCTTGGTCGCCATTTATTTTGAGGCGCAGAAGCTTCTTAGTTTAATGTAACCCCATTTGTTTATGTTTGTTTCCAATTGCTTGGTCAGAGGTGTTTCATCCTTAAAGATGCCTTTAGCGTCAGTATCATGGAGGGTTCTGCTTACATTTTTCTCCATGTACCTTATGAATTCAGGTCTAATATTGAGGTCTTTAATCCATTTTAATCTGTCTTTTGTGCCTGGCTTTAGACAGAGGTCAGAGTTAATTTTTTTGAAGCTGTCCAGTTTTCCCAGCACCACTTGTTTAAGAGGCTATCCTTGTTCCACTTAATATTTCTTGCTCCTTTATCAAAGATTAAGTGATCATATATTTGACATTTTGTGTCAGAATATTCCACACTTTTCCATTGGTTTGTGAGTCTGTTTCTATTCCAATACAATACAGTTTTAATTACTACTGCTTTGTAGTACAATTTGAAGTTGGGGAAGGTAATGCCACCCATCATTTTTCCCCAAGGATGGATGTAGCTATTTGGAGGAATTTATTGTTCCATATGAATTTTATTTGAAAAAACATTATAGGTACCCTTCTAGGGATTGCATTGATCTATATAATTCTTTGGGGAGTATTACCATTTCGGTAATGTTAATCCTCCAGATCCATGAGCTGATTCCAAGTTACTTGATTTTCTGAGGCACTATTATGAACAGGATTTTTTAAAATATATATATATATATAAAATATAAGTCATGAACTTTCAGGTATTGATTTTGTAATCTGCCACTTTATTATATGAATCTATTGTTTCTAGGAACTTTTCTGTAGAGTCTTGAGGATTTTCTAAGTATCTTGTCATCTGCAGATAGTGGTAGCTTGACCTCTTCATTTCCTATCAGGATGTCCTTCATATTTCTTTCTTGTCTAACTTACTATGGCAAGTACTTCTAGTACTATATTGAATAGAAGTGGTAAGAGTGGGCAACCTTATCTTATCCCCAATCTTAGAGGGCAAGCTTTTAGTTTTTCCCCATTAAGAATAATGCTTGTTGTGGTCTTGTGGTAGATGGCTTTGACTATACTGAGAAAAGCTCCTTCAATTCCCATTTTGTTGAGAGTTTTTATCATGAATGGGGATAGATCTTGTCAAATGCTTTCTCTGCATCTGTTGATATGATCATAGGGTTTTTATCTTTTCTTTTATGTGTATGTTGTACTGTTAGTTGATGTGCAAGTGATAGACCATCTTTGCATCTCTGGAATGAATCCTACTTGGTTATGGTGGATGATCATTTTAATGAGTCGTTGGATTCTGTTTGCCAGGATTCTGTTTGATGAGGATCTTTGTGTCTGTGTTCATCAGGGATATCAGCCTGTAATTTTCTTTCTTGGTGGTGTCTCCTTCTGTTTTTGGTAACAAGGTGATATTTGCCTCATGAAAACTGTTTGTAAGTGTTTCTGATTCTTCAGTTTCCTGGAAAAGCTTTGGAAGGGATTGGGAGTAGGTCCTTTTTAAAGGTTTGGAAGAATTCACTAGTGAATCCATCTGGGCCAGGGATTTTTTTTCCCCCGGGGGTGGGTGGGAGAGACTTTTTATTGCCATTTCAATTTCCTTGATAGTTATAGGACTGTTCAGGTTTTCCAAGTCCTAGTTTAGCCTCAGGAGGCTATAGGAATCCAGATATTTATCCATTTCTTTGAGGTTTTCTTGTTTCACAGCATAAAGATTCTCAAAATAATCTCTGATGATCCTTTGAATTTCTGTAGGTTCTCTTGTGATGTACCCCTTTTCATATCTGATTCTGTTTATTAGGGGTCTCTCTCTCTCTCTCTCTCTCTCTCTCTCTCTCTCTCTCTGAGTCTTGCTAGTGGTTTATCCATCTTGTTTATTTTTCCAAAGAACCAACTCTTGGTTTCATTGATCATTCTTGGGCTATTTTCTGGGCTTCCATCTTGTTAATTTCTGCTCTTAAGTTTTATTATTTCCTTTCTTCTGCCTGGTTTGGGCTCCTTTTTGTTGGTCACTCTCCAAGATCTTAAGCTATGTCATTAAATTATTTATGTGGGCACTTTCTTCCTTTCTGATGAATGCCTGCAGAGCTATACCCTTTCCTCTTAACACTGCTTTTGCTGTATCACACAAGTTCTGGATACAATTTCTATCCTTTTAATTTTATGGAGGTACACTTTGTGGCCCAACATGTGGTCTATCTTAGAGAATGTCCCATGTGCTCTTGAGAAGAATGTGTATTCAGCTTTTGGGGGATGAAAAGTCATCTCTCTCTCTCTCTCTCTCTCTCTCTCTCTCTCTCTCTCTCTCTTTTCTCTCTCTCTCTACCTCTATCTAATCTATCCTCTATCCCCTCTACTAACCCCCTCTCTTCTATTTCTTCCCTCATATAAAGTATGTCTTTGCTGAACTTTAGTCTGGTTGATCTATGGAGAGGTGACAAAGCAGTGAAAGTTCCATATAGGAGGCTAATTTGTGGTTATTAATGGGATATGGAGGGGGACACTAGACTAGCACGTGACAGGGACAAATGGCGACATAACTGGCGCCCGCTCGAGCAAATCGATGATTAACGGGAAGTCAAGTGATCACATGATCAAGTGATGGCGGGAGAGATTAAGTCTCCATAAGTAATTTGACCTGGCTACAATGCATGTGGTATATTTGTGTAGGACTAAACAGGAAATGAGGTTGGACAAATAGGTAGAAGGTCAGTGAAGGTCATCGTGCCTCCAGAAGCCACTCCTACTAGGGCTCTGACCTGTAATGGAGGTGTTAAGTGCTTGCAGCGAACCCAGAAGTGGAGCTCTCTCCTGCCTGGGGCCCCCAGGTCCCATATTGCTCTGTCCTTGACTTCTACCCTACTCATGCCAATCTTAAAAATTCTTGTTCTTCTTTTCTTCTTTTTTTTAAATGAAATTTTATTTTTAAATGTACAGCAGGTTCCAAAACACTTCATTCTAGATACTGCTGGCAACAGACACTGCAGGGAATCCAGATGTTTAATCACTAATAGATCTAAAAATTGCTGTTACCTCTGGCACAGGGAGCAACTAACTTTTTGCCCGATTTCTTCATTCTCCCAGTGGCCAGCGGCCTTTCCCTGTGGCCTTGGCTTTTAGTTCCTGAGTTTCTTTCACTCCTTCTCCCATGTCCTCACCGTTTCCTGGGCCTGCTTCTTGGGTTGTTGCAGTGCCTTCTTCTTGCCACCTTTGGGGCCTGACATGGTACCTACCTGGTTGAGCATTTTTTCTTGGTAGTAGTCAAAATTGTTATAAACAGAAATATTACCTTTATGTTTCAGCTGATTTCTATCTTTTTTCAAATCTAGAGTTCTTGTCCACCTACAGTTGATTGGAGAGGTATTAGAGTCCCTCTTGTTTCAGTGTGAAAAATCAGAATGAAGATAAGAAGAATCCGTATATAATATGATCATCCTTAATGATTTTCCCCTATGATTCAATAAGTCTTTGTTAGTTTGAAGTTAGGTGACCTTTCGTGACTGTTTGGTATGAGTAAAATAGAATTAATTGTATAACAAAGTGATTTCATTTTATTGTTGACCTCACCTAAGGAGGAAGATCGTTCTTAATAGCTTTATTTTATTATTCTTCCTTGTTATTTAGCTAAAGAGTTTCTCTACTCTCACTTTTTTTTTAAATATGTAGGAAACTAGAGATATTCAGATTCCCTCAACCTGTAGTGCCAGTTCAGACTTTCTGAGTTACATACTGTCTTCTTGGTGACCAAAACATGATTTTATTTTACAGGATTCAAAAACTGTCATTGAAAAATTTCCCACAATTGGTCAACTGTTGACAAAAAGTTGCTGGAATCCATTTATCTTAGCGTATGGTAAGAATCTGAAGTATTTTTTTCTTAAAATATAAATTTATAATAAATATTTCAGTGTTCACATTAACAAAATAGAGCCTCAAATCATTTTTCCTTATTTCTCATTAAATAATTTACTAATATGTATTTGTTATCCTATTACAAAGATGGGATCTTTGTTGTCATCATGTGTTTTTGTGTATATTTATATCATGTTTATATATGCATGTACAACATGCTCTCACATTCAGGCATATTATAGAAAAATAGATTTTCTTATGTTAAAGGAAAGATCAAATGGCTAACAAAATGTTTATTTCTGTTCAATGTAGAATAGTTATAATAAAATATCCTTTTGCTTCAAGTTTCCTATTAATTTATATACTGCATTCCATGTATAAAATCTTCCTTCAAAATCTAAATCCTGCCATGGCTCTGCTATATAACAGTGACATTTTTGTTTTACGCAAGGTTAACAGGAATTTGGAAATACTTTTGGAGAGGTGTTCCTTCACTGACCTTCTGCCTACCTGTCCAACCTCATTTCCTGTTTAGTCCTACACAACTATACCACATGCATTGTAGCCAGGTCAAATTACTTATGGAGCCTGTGAGATGCAGTTCCTTTGCCTGAGTCTCTGCTCTCATCTTTAGTTCTCTTAAGGCTTTTTGAAATAGTTTTGCTAACTCTGAATTAAGAACTTCAGTTAATGTCATCATAGTTCTAGCATTCTCCTAAATTACTTCACATACTATACTGTTTTTCATTACTGACTTGCCTCTGTATCCTCTCAAGAGGATGTCTCTCAAGTATAAGAACTGTGGCTTCAGTTTTCTTTTTTTTTTTCCCTGTAACCTAGCTGATGGTCGAATAGTTGCATCTGAAGGTACTAATGTAATATTAATATGTATTGTTGCAATACTTAATGCATTAAGTAGCAAATGTAATACTTTTCATATTTTTTAAAGTCAAAGAATTATTACTTACTGTTAGAATATTTAACAAAGAGTGATTGCTTACTGTTAGAATAAAAAATAAATGGATACTCCCTTTTGATAGTTAAAGAATTGTATACATTTTCTTTCCTAGTCTTTCATAAATAATTGCAGGAAACATAAGTGAAGTAAAGGACAGCATCTGTATTTAGTCCCATGAACTCTCAGGCTCAGACTCACTCTCTCTGCCCCTGACTTTATCTGTTCCTCTTGCTCTCCCTACATACTTCTTGCTTTCTCTTTCCTGTAGAGTTCATTTTTTCTCCTCTCACCTCCTTAGATTTTTTAAGATTTTTTTGTGGGGAGGGACAAAGCCATAATGATATTTGCCCACTAGGGCCATCAGTACTTGTGCCCAGTTTATTTCAGCCAAGCTAAAGCTTCTGAAATATCTGATTAGGAATACATTTTTTGTATATGTATATATGTATGTGTGTGTGTTCACACAGCAACATTTCTACAACAGACACCTAAATATGCACAAACATTTTTATGAAATAATGCTTTTCTATAGTTATTGTGCTGTTTTAAAATGTACTTCATGACCCAGAACTGATTTTGCAAGCTACTGATAGATGATAGATTATGACCTAAAGTTTGCAAAACATAGAGCTAGGTTGTAATGCCTGTGGCATAAGAAAAGGCAAGAATCTGTTGAATTTATTCCAGTGAAAGTTACTATTAATCAATATACTTGAAAGATTGAATCATTACTGTTTAGAAAAAATGAGCACTGTACCTTTACATATACATGGTAGATGTAAAACATTCCTAATTCAAAAATGTTGTTTTGAAATGGAAGCTGCAGAATGAAAGGTATTGTTCACTTTATACTGGGCACAATTCTCGGGATAAAATTTTTGATGGTACAGTCTTGCAGGATAGGTTATTATATTTGCATTAAGTCTCTTTCCCCAGGATACAAAGTTAGTTAAAAACCAGTGCAGAGCTAAGCAGATTGACTGCCCCCTAAAGCCAGCCCCCACTGCAGTGGGCTATCGAGCGGCCCTCCACCCTGACTGTACCCACAGCCAGCCCTCCATGCCTGTGTGTGGGCATTGCACAGATACTGACTGAATTGGTTTGTTTTTCTTTCTCTTTTTTTGGTATGCTCTGCCGTAGGAAAACTTGACTCACATTTTCTAACTAGTGGAAACTTCTACTCAGGGAGAAAAGAGGCCTAAATCAGTTGAGAGAGGGTTAGTCTTGTGAGGTTCTGCATAAGCAGGAGAGGGGAAGGAGATTTTGTAAGAGAGAGAGTGCTCTGGATAACCCTTGAACAATAGCATAAGATGAGATTTTCTAAGACAACTCATAAAACTCTCTGGGTTTCAGATATCTTTTTTTTTTTTTAGTGAAAGACTGGATTGATTTATCCATATAATCTTAAACTTATATCTGTCAGTGGTCTTTCCTTATCTCCATTACATTGTCTGCCTGTGATTCCAGGAAACAGATTCTTAGTCTTTTTCTATTTCAGTGCTTGTGTTACCTTTTGAACTTCCCATTAAATTTTATTTTCCCGTTTGAAGTACACCTTAGCTCATAGAGGAGACAGACAGACTGGCACAGAACTCCATGAGTAATCAGATCTTGCTTATGTTACCACTGGTGTTTCAGTAGTTGAATGCTTTCTTCCAGAAAAGGATTTTTTCTTATAGTTTTACATAAAAAATCATCTTCAAGTAGAATTTTCATCAAGGAAAGAAGTCAGTGGTCCATAACATTGGGAACAGGATCGGAAATAAGGATAATAAGGAAGAAGGAAGAAATGAAAAGATACTGGAAAGAAGAGGAAAGAAATAGACATAATAGGAAGAGAGCATTCTTCCTACAGTGAAGTCCTCTGCATAAAATGACTGTTTCCACTTCCGTGAAATTCAGCCTCCTTCACTCTGGCTCTGACTTACATGGTTAAGCATTTGAAGCATCATAGTGAGGGTGGAGCGATAATATAGTGAGTAGGGCATGAGTAGGGCACTTGCCTTGCACGTAACACTTGTGTTGGTCCCCAGAGCCCCACCAGAAGAGGAAATTCCCCCCCGCCCAGAAGCCTAAGGGGTATAAAGTTTGTTTCATTATTTGCTGTCTATTACTAGTAACAATTTGTCTGCAAACTTGGTCTCTGACAACAAAAATATTTATTGTCTTAAGAAAAAAAAGAAGATGAGAAGAAGCTTGCCTAACTATATAACAAAATAAATGTCTGAAGAATTTATTGGGGGAAAATAAAGAATGTATTGGAATTTTTAGTTGAAGGTATTGTAGTGTGTTTCAGCTACCAATGAGTTCTTGAGGACTGTGTGTATAGAAGATGGGCACAGCACACTGCATGTCTCTGATGTCACAGCTCTTTTTTTTTTAATTTTTATTAGTGAGACACCATGAGATATAGTTGTAGACTTACACATTTTTGTTCTTGGGTTTCAATTATACAATGATCAAATACCCATCACTCCACCAGTGCCCATTTCCCACCACCGCGGATCCCAGTATCCCTCCTACCCCCCCCCCCCCCCCATCCCTCCCATCCCACCCTACCTCTGTGGCAGGGCATTCCCTTTTGTTCTCTCTCTCTTATTGGGTGTTGTGCTGTCACAGCTCTTTTATAAAACAGCTTCAGCAGGTAAATGTTGCTACAGGCTGCAATGTTGTAGCCAGATGCAGTGTTGTCCCTGTGCTCTAGGGCCTGCTGCTTCAATATCATGCTCTGCAGTGTAGACATCCAGGTCTCGGCACCATCCGGCATCCGATGATGCCTAGCTCCTTCCAGGGCCAGGCCTCCACTGTGCCTGAGGTTGGAGGCTCACTGCTCCACCGCCAGTACTCTGCACTGCCAGACTCTCCATGCTTGGTTGTCCTGGCTCTCTGCACCACTGGTCTCTTCTCTGTGCTCCACCCAGAGAAGCTCTTACGTGTGCAAACGTAAGAGCTTCCGATTCTTCTGCATCTGGGTGCTTGTGTGAGTTCAACAGAGAGAGCTAGAGCTGGGGGTTCCCTGTTTATTTCTTTCTTACTGACCTCCGCCCTTCCCACCAGGCACTTTCCACCACGGACAAGCACCCACGCGGGAGAGATATAGGTGGACCAGTTGGATTATCTTAACTATCAGGCACCCTCTCACATTTCCAATCTGCTATGACAAAAGATAGTAGATGATGAACGTTTGTCGGTATATTTCTTTCCTTTACACTTAGTTTTCACCCCCCCCCTTTTTTATTTATCTGTACTATTATTTTTACTACCTTTCTTGAGATACCAGGATTTGCAGTTCTGTTAACTCTGCTTTTCTTCGCGCATGTGTCACTCCTCCCCCGCCAACCCCCCACCCCCGCCAGTGTCCCAAGCCCCTCCCGCCAGTCCTCCTGCAGGCCCAGTTCTATAGACAGTATCTCTAGTTCTGAGGAAGGACTTTTGCCATTTGCTGTTTCCTTATTAAGTTTCTTTATATCCCACAGTTAAGAGATTTTTTTTAAAGTATATTGTGGAGGTGGTAGTACCTGTACATGTATAGATGAATAAAGTTAAATTCCTGAAATTAAAAAAAAATTGTAAATAAGATAATTTTTCCCCAAAACTGTATATCTTTGTCTTATTATAGGTACAAATGAAAAAATCCTAATGTGCGGCCTTTGGGCCTTTGATGTGATTATCTCCCTCCTCGAGCTATGTGGTCTGCACCTCTTCCTTGCCGTGTTTGCTGTGCTCCGCTATGTTGAAGGGGCGCTGGTGGGGGTCCCCAGGCAGGCCCTGAGGGACCCGGCTGAGTGTTGCTCTTTTCGTCCCCTCCTGTCTCCAGCCAGTGATGGAAGCGTGACTGAGCAGTGTGAGGCGGGGCGAGTGGCTGGCCACCCTGTGCTATGTGGTGAAGGCTGGCCTGCTGCGGGGACGGGTTGGGCATGGGGCTGCTGGCACCCAGCACAGAGAAAATCTCTTCTTCATCCAAAAAGCTTCTGAGAAATAGATACTGGTGGAGGGAGGGGTGTTGGATCATTGTAATTGTAAGACTGAAACTGGATCGTGAA